ACACACACACACACACACATAGAAAGGCATGGATAAAATGCCCCAATTATTTGCCTGCTCTTCTAGTGAGGTTTACTAGGTACTAGAGATATGTGAGAAATCTGTTTTGGGGGTGGGGATCCACCTGGTCTTCCCAGACTCTGGTCTGCTTTCTTGCAGCACGAGTCTGTCTTCCTGGTGAGCTCACTGAGTGTCCACACTGCATTAAGCAGCAGCCGCGCACAAATGCTGCGCAAGTGGCATCCTTCTTCTGTGCATGTGACTTACAGCCTTGGTTTCTACTGCACGTGCTACAGGAGAAGGTTGCTGGTTGCACACCCAGATTTCTGCAACTATTCACAGATTACCTCTCAGCTCAGCTTGCTTCCTGAACTGGTGCCAAGTATGTGAAGAAATCTGATCAACAGAAGAGGGCTGGAGTCCAGGTAAGAATGTTGCAGCCCTATGAGTCACTACCACAACTTGCCTTCTTTCCCTCTAGCATCCAAATCCTCATCTTTAGTAATGTGGATAATATTTTATTGCTGCTCCAATAGGACTTCAATTAAAGTTCTCTTGCTTTGGCTCACTAGGCTTCTGTCAAATATATATTCCCTATTCTTCCAGAGGTGATGTTTCATGAAAGATGTTTGACCATGAAAGCATTCTGAAAAACAATGCCTGCATTAGTAATTCGTTCTTTGGATGTATTGTACCCTTCTGCACTGTGCAGGAATAATGGAGCAGGTGGCCTCATCATAAGGCTAACAAACTCAGTTTGAAGCTTTCCCTATTACTGCATCTCTGCATTGAGAGAATTTTCCCCAGCTGATGTGTGTACCTGCTCTGAGAGGCATCTGTTCATCTAAGGACCCAGCAGCAACTGTATGCCCACAATAAATTCTTCATATAGAAAAGTTCTAAAGCTCTGTCTCAAACTGGCTGCCCTTGTTATGCAAAGCCTCACAAATGGTGATGAAATTACTTCACTGAGCCATGCCTCCAATGTTGGTCATTTGTATCAGTCCTCTGCAGACTCTCCCTGTTTCCCAAGATGAAGGACACCTTGTGAGAAATAGTTCATGATGACAGACAATATAAAGACAAGCCTTCCCTCTGGATTCTAATCCTTTCCAACCCCCACCTAGCCTACAAGGCTTTCTGAAGTGCTGCGACAGAGACCTTCTGCTTGGGCTCTTTATTGATAGTAGTTTGGTCGAACTGTTCCTGTACTGTAATTATAGTTAGTAAGCTAAGCATATGGAAACTCACAGCTACATTGTAAATATATTGGGCATCCTATGTCCTTTATCTGAGATTGGAGACAAATTCAGTAACAACTGATAAGAAAATGGGAAACCCAGTTGTTACTTGTTTGTTGAGCTCAACAGTCCTGGGTGAAAACCAGGGTGAAATGACATGTAGCAGAACTTAATCTGTGTAAATTTTTCCTCCCCCTCTTCGTCTGCTCCATCTTATGAGTATGACTTCATGCAGTTTGCATAACCCATTTGCATGATCACCACATGGTTTATTTAAACTATGGGGGACTGCAGGACCTGCAGTTACTTGCTGGCAGCCATATTGCATATTCAAGCTGCTATCAGAGCTTGAATGAGCCCAGTGAGGATGGGTCGTTGGCATAGTCAGCAAACCACCCACAATCTAAAAATTGCCCATGGCTTGTGGGTAGTTAGCAATCATGACAACAAGGCACCTTCACCAGCTTTGCACAACACAACATGTGGTAACTCTGGTGGTGAAGCATACAGGACTTAAAGGGGCAATAGGAGTAAGACAGCATTCCAGGGGCATATTTTTCTGCTTCAAGGAATATGGTCATATCAACTGGCTGTCTACAGAATAAGGGATGGATTTAGTTGATAGGTACCAATGCATTTCATTTTTCTAAAATGGTTTTCTCCATGATGATGATGAACCTACTGCATTGCCTAAAGAAAAGCCATAGTCAGTACAAAAAGCCCTGGTCTTTAGGGATGTTGACATTTTGCCATTCCCTGAAAGGCAGTGTCAATCTTATACTTTTGTGACCCCTTTACATCTCAAGCTCTGTAGATTTTCTTGGTCATAGATATGGGCAGCACTTCCTATTTCTTTATCATGACCTTTTTGTGGCAAAAGCGAGAGGGGTCAGAACATGGCTGGGTACTCCAAAGATCTGGAGCCAAGGCACGTAATACAAAAGTAGATGTGCTTAGATAGATATGAGGAGTGCAGACTTGCTTCACGGCAAATAACAATTCAATGAACAGACAAGCAGGAAAGCGAGGGAGAAAAAGATTCAGAATTACCAGAATTTGTTTACATATGAACATAAATTGAGTCATGCTAAATCAGACCATTGTCACCAAACATGCACAGGGTTGGGTTGAACGGTAGTCAGTGAACTGGAATTGGATTGGCAGTTCAAGCCGGAATACCACACTCAGGACTTTCTTTTGAATACACATGTAGATCAGACAGGAAATCTCCCATTTTGTTCAATGGGACTGACTCCCAGGATTGGGTTAGCGAATAGTATTTTTCTCTCCTCCACTTTCCAAAAATGTTGATTCCTATTTTTATCAAAACTTCCTGTTCATAGGAACATGGAAGGCTGCCATTTACTAAGTCAGACCATTCATCCATTTAGCCCAATATTGTTGCTACTGACTTACAGTTGCTTTGTGAGGTTTAAGGCAGTGTTCTTTCATAGCCCTACTTGGAAATTCTGGGGACTGAACAAGGACCCTCCAGCATACCGGTCATGTGCTCTGCCACCAAGCTGTGCCTCTTCTTATTGCTGCATAATAGAGATGATCACCAAACACCCCCAGGTCCCTTAATCTGCAAGCACAGAACCCACTTTTTTCAAAAAAGTAGGTTCATTCAAGTATGGAAGTGAAGGAGAAAAGCAATTCCACTTGTCTGTCGATATACAGTCAAATACAGTTCAAAATGTTTCTTGTCCGATGCCATCCTCCCTTGAGAATTTCCAAAGACATGCTTTGGATGGAGTACCAAAGAGAATGAATTGTCAGGATAAAGGATGGAAGAAAAAGACAGGATGAATGGTGACTGGAAATGAGGCAGAGAATTCCCTGAGCCAAATGGCTTCTTTCAGACAGGAAGCTCTTCAGAGAAATCTAGGAGCAGTTGTGAGAACTGTACAGATCTAAATTAACTTTATAGAATGAGGTGGTTGAGGGCATTGTCCTGCTTTAAAAAAACCCTGTAAAATCTATTTAAAATCCTTAACAGTTCCCAGATTATAATGTCACATAGTCCTAATTCTCATTTTAATATAATTTGTTGCATGCAGTGCTATGGGACAAATTTACAGTGGGAAGGGAGAAGGAAGTTTGGGGAGACTGATTAAATATTGTAGTGTGGAAACTGAACTTCTGCAGAAGCAAAAGTATGGTAACCAATAGTAAAATCAGATGCTCTGTGAAATGTCAATATTTCAGAGGGAGTACTTCCTGCTCTTATCCTTCTTTCTCAAAAAAATCATTGTGTAGCAAGTTCTCAGCATGGGCATGTAAGAGTAGAAGTAGGAATGGGAGCAAGAGAGAGAGAGAGAATCCATGAGAGGAACATAGAAGGAAAGGTTTCTCATTATAGTATGATCCTTTGATCCTAGAGAGATTGCACAGGCTCTGGTGCTTCATGCAGTACCAGCAACTACCTTTTTTCCAGATTTCCTCCTCAGGTAGCATCCAAAGTCTGGGGGGACTCTAGAGCATCACCCCTGAGGTAAGAAAACAAGCAAACCCGTCCATGCATAGATGAAAGGATCGTGCATATGCACCTGGGCCTCACTGCAACCTGGAAACTGGCCATCATTCAACAGTTCTGATGTAAAAAGATAGTGCCATGCATGGATGGCCTTGACCATTCACTCCTCTGAGCAAAGGAATGGTCCATATGTATAAGGAGAATGTCCATGTGTGTAGGAACTGTTTCACGTGAGAAGATGGATCAGGCCTGCATTCTGCAGAGAGAAAGTACACATAGTTTTTAACCCCTTATGAGATGAAACCCTGACCACTTTATTTAATTGTGCCATTAATTAACAAACAAAACCATCTATCATGTTTCTCATTCATGTACATAGCTTTCTTTGTCAAATCTGAACAAATAGGTATCTCTTCTTTCTTCCCCTTTGTTTCCTGCTTATTTAGATGGTAAACCTAGAGGGAGAGTTCTTGGGGTTTTTTTTGTTTAATTTTCATGTTCCTTTTGCTGAATTGTTTTCTTCAAATACTTAATAAAAATCAAATATTCTAGATGCAGTTTGGACCTAACTTCCTTTTCAGATTATGTAGAGGTCTCAAAACACAACTCTGTATTTTGTGTGATATGGTAGTGTATTTAAAGTGCTACTTAATTCTACATGTAGCAGAGTATTGATGATGCCTTCTTGCAAAGGACATTCTTGAAATGAAACACACACACACGTTTCTCTTTCTTTATCCCTGTGGTAAATTACTTTTTGCTTAGGACTTTTTCTTATCTAGTAGAGGCATTAGACTGTGGTCCCAGAATTCCCCTTATGATTTAGACATTTCAGGGTTACTATAGGAAGGGCAGAAATTCTTAGCTTAGTGAAGTGATTTGAAAAAAAAAGTTTTAAGTAGCTCAGCATTTTGACAGAAGTCTACAAGCCTGAATGTCAACTCTGAACATAAATGGAAAACTATATTTCTATTAAGGGAGGGTAGGAGAGAACCTTTTGTGGTTTCTATCCTAGCTGTTGCTTTTATAAGGCACTTTAAGCACATGACCTCTTAAGCATATCTTGTTTCTGCCCAACAGAATAATGAAATATGATTGGTCTCCATGCACTTATTGCCTTTATTTTCCCAGTCTCTGTGTCACGGTCATGCTATTTCTGTGGCTGCTTCCTTTCACTGGTGGAGAAGTCTAGCTGTTGTCCTCCTGAAAAATACCAGCAAGAGGGCTGTTCTCATTGGCCTAATGAAGAGCAGAAATATTGGCTAAATTTCTGTACATCCAAAATGGAGAGAAACTTCACTGAAGAAGGAATTCAGCAGACCCTCCATCTTCCCTGGGACATTGGCAAGGTCACAGATGAGGAAGAGAAGCAGTTTTGTCAGTGAGTAATAATATTTATTTTTTGTAATGTCATTTTCATTATTTTTATTTGATTCTTCATAACACAGGCAGTTTGAAGTATATGCAAAAATAATAGTGTTTGGTCCCACACCATTGTATGTAATTGCTGACAAGTACAACCTTATAAGATGTTGTCATTGTCATATCGGTGTCTGCTTCCAGTTATATACAACATACAGACTAGCTATCATGTATACACAGAAGCAAGGATGAAGAAAAGTAAAGTTGGTCTCTATTAATTTTTACAGTAATTAGAGTGTGTTATGATAGTACAACTAATCTCTTCCTCTCTAATATGTTTATTTCAAACATTATTTACGTATACACATTTATGCTGTTTATTGATTTCTGATTTTATATTACAAGGTACAAGGCAGCCCACATGGTTTTTAATATCCAAAACACATGTGGTTAATGTAAAAGCAATGGTGACGCTGAAAAAGCAGCAAGTTGACAAAGCAATATGATTTCAATGTCAAATTTTCCTTACGTTTTTGTTTTGTTTTTAAAAATGGAAAAATGCCATGTTACTAAAAAATCTCAGTAATTGCTGGTGTCTCTTTTGATCAGCTCAGAATATGGCACTGTATTTATTTGCTTATCATATGCACACATATATGCTGAAGTTTGTTTTTTAATCAAAGCATCAGATGTTAATGGATGCACTTCTTAAATAAAATGAACATTTTAAATTGAGGGACTGTAACATATTTGCGACCTCACAGTCTGCTAACATCTTGCTCTTCCTAATGATCAAGGCATCATCTCTGTGCTGCTGGCAGAACTGCAGAGAAATAAGATAGAAACAGTGATCTAATTCTAAAAATTAGTTTTTAGAATTGGTATCAACTCAAAACTTATTTCTGTTGTTATTTACATTTTAATGCTATCTTTCTGGGTCAGGCGAAATGGTTTCTCTCTGCTGTGTCCGTACAACGAACCCCAATGGGTAGGAAAGATTAAGAACAAGCAACTGGCCCAAGGTCATCTCAAGAGCTTTATAGCTGAGCATAGATTTGGACTTGATTCTTCCCAGTTAACTCAAGCACCTATCTGCAATACCATGTCCTCTTGATATAGCATAAAACTAATTTCCCCCTCAGTTTCTGAACTTACTTCCGCTGCACTGCTTTCTTACTGCCCTTCCTATGCTGGTTCCATCAAGCAAGAGATGAATGGAAGGAAAATGAAAATGATATAGTTTGGAGTTGCCTTATCAATATTTCTGATAAGTAATATCAGATAAGTAAGTGGCAGTAACCAAGTCATACACTGTGCCCCGTGCCCCTTCCAAGCAGATCAGGGAAAAGGGCTTTTAACTGTAGTCTTTTTTATGTTAAACTGACTGGCTAGGTGGGCTTTGTGATACAAAAGGAATATCACAGGATCATTAACAAAAGATAGCAGGAAAGCTAGAATATTAGCCATTAGCAAAATACAGCTTGATGATCAGAAGTTGATTCCAAATTGAATCCTCCCTTCTCAACCAAATGGAGTTAGCTCCATCCTCAGGGTGGTTCCTGCTGGTTGCGGGCCAGATGTTGGGGATGCTGGATACAATTCAATTGATGTGCCATTTTGATCTGAAGCTGGACTATGGGTTTCTGAGGTAACAACCTTGGAAGGCTGTATTTTGGGAGAAGCAGGCCTCACCTGTACACTCAGGCATCAGTTAAACAGTAAATTCATTGGCAATTGATCAGTTAAACAGTAAATTCATTGGCAATTGAGAGAACAACCACATTCAGAGTTTCCTGGTGCTGGTGCAGCAGTTTGCTAGTGAGGCAGAAACATATAGATCTATATGAGAGAAGCTGTTGTCAGTGCTTCTACAGCAATTAATCATGTGCCACTGAGGGAGGACTCATTGACCTTCCCCACACAATTCTTCAGACATCCATTCTTCAGTGTTGAATGGACACGTTTGGAGAGAAGTGCTCCAGCCCTTCCCACTCTCTGGTGTTGCAGGGAGTGCAACAGTCTGAAAAGAATAACCTTCTGTATCTGTGTCTTAATCAACTTGATTAAGAGCCTAGTGTGCTTAGTCGTATGGTGAACTTCCATGGATGCAGGAGGTTCCCATCTTTAGACTTTCGTCCTGTATCCTACTGGGTGGCAGATATGATGAAGTGAGGCAGGGCGGCAGGGCCGTCTGAACAGCATTATGGGCCCCGGGCAAAGCAGTGTACTGGGGCCCCTTCGACAACTACAACTACTGTTAATTTTTGGAAGTTTTCCCATTTTCCAAGGGTTAACATACACAGATTAGTATGGGGCCCATGGGCAAGTGCCCATCAGGCCCATGCACTAAGATGGCCCTGCAGGGCGCGAGTGGTCCTCTCTTCACATGTTCATTCAACAGGGAAAAATTAATGACTGAAGAGAGATTATGAGTATGCTAAAAGTGTCTTTTATGAAGAGACCAAGAGTCTTCCATCTCCTTTATTTCTCAGTCATGTGCTGCGAACTGTCATCTTGCCTGGATTTCATGCTTATGCCATAGTAACTGGATGCTACTTTTCAAAATGTATTTCCAAAGGCAACTTCATGTAAGCTGAATTATGTGTTGTAGTATTCTCTGCTCATCTATCTTGACTGATCTGTGAATGAACTAAAAGCAAAATTGTTCGGCATCAAAGGTCCAAATTATATATAGCTAACAGCATTTCTGCTAGGAAGGAGTAGCCAGACCATAAGGAGGATGTTAATCCATTTCTAAAAGGTGCATGTGTTTAGCAGGGAAAACACCAGTGCTGAAGCATTTCCATCAAGAAAAGTGTATCCCTCCACCCATTAATGAAATCTGCAAAAGTTTTAAAAAGAACAAAAACAGAACTGGAGAACGCTTTGTGCATCTCCATGGTTGCATCTAGTTAGTCCTAAAAGGAGAAAATATCATTTCAATCCAAACTGACTTGTTGGTGTGACTGCTTCTTTTGCAATGCAGCACATTATCCTTCCTGTAGCTAGACATGAAAAACTGCACAAAGAAGAATAAAACCAGGATTTTATTCAAATAAAGGACAGCAGTAAACACCGACTTAAAGCCCATTACTATTAAAGAGTTCTGCCATTGTATTTCTCACAAATCTGACAAACCAAGAGACTTTGTGTCGTTCAGTGCATGCCTAGATAGTGAATGTATTTGTTACTGCTTTCTTCGTGCAGCCAAACACACACTGAAAACTTTCCTTTGAAGACAGTGATTACATTTTGACCTTTTAAAGCTTGCTTCCAGAGTAAAGATTTTTATCTCACATTACAGATAATTGCTGACTGGATTTAATGCAATCCTCCCAGAGAGCAGGAACTGAAGAGCTGGGGATGTCTGCGATTTAATAGATCATTTATCTTGCCAGGGAAGGAGGTGGTAACTTGATCTCTCCTCATCCAAAGGCCTTGCAGTTTCCTACCTGTCGGCTGTGCTTATTTGTTCATATGCCTCACAAATGGCAATGCAAAGCATCCATCCTGCTTGTAGTTAATTACCACTATCTAAAGAGAGTTAGGCATGACTTCAATGAGTTAAAATGATAGGGTGGCCTTCTGCTGCACAAAAAGAAGGGAAAGCAACGCCTGACAAAAGAGACAGAGGTTTGCATGCATCTTCTATGTGTGAAGCTATTTGTGTAGACAAAACATCAAAAAATGATAATTCAAATAAAAATGCAATACATAAAATGCCCTAATGTGACCAGGTGAACTGTGTGCCTGGTAAGTTTGCAACTTCATTGTGCAACTTCATGCTATTTCTCTCTCTTCCTGTTTCTTGATCTTTTAAAACTGCACTTAAGTTTCAAACAGAGGATTGTCTGATGCTAAGTACAGCACGAGGCAACATTCTTTTAAGTGGGCCCACCTTGGCTGAAATGCAGGTAATGGATAGAGAGCAGGGGTAGGCAGACTTCCAGCATGCAGGGTTTTTTCCTTTACTGAAACACTATGATCTACCAACCCAAAGATACAATATAGTGAGAAGGAGGAAGAAAAGCAACAAAAACCTACACCTGGAATTAAGAGAAAAGCACCTCTTTCTATCTATACCTGAACAGCTCCCAGTTCTTTCAAATAAAAAACTGCTCCTAGTTTTCTTCATTTTAGTAGCCTATTTTTAAAAATTGCCTTTGTTAAACAATTGGAGCTAAGGTATCCTTGCCTATCTACTGCAAATTATGAAGAAGTCAGTACATTCTCATCTCCCATCTTTCTACCCTGCTGTACAGTATTCCAATTGACTGCTGTACAGTCAATTCCAAGAGTAGAGTTTTATACTTGCCACTTACTCATTCCATTTAGAGTTGAACCATATTTGATTAAGGGTAGCATCCAGGATCCACCTCCCTGAAGGGTAAAGACTCCATGTACTGAAGGCCCCCCCACGTATCCACAACAGCTAACCCCATTCATCTTGGTCTCCTGACTCTCTGTGTAGTGTTTCAGGAGGCTGTAGAAGCTGCCATGTTCTGTGATTCATCCTGCATAAATTTGGACCTATCCGTAAGTCAGAACTCTGCTTCCAGAAGTCAGAACTCTGCTAATTCAGACTAAAGGGCACGTGTGAGTGAAAGTTTAAATTTTAATTTGATTTTAAATCAATAAATATTCATTTGTTCATTTTTGCTTCCTTGTTTTCATCAGCAAATATCTTCCCAAAAGAAAAAAAAACTTAGAAAATAATTTATCTCCAGAAGAGATGCCTGTTGGTGAGAGCTGTAAGTGGAACTAAGATATTGTCCAGTTTGTGCTTCATATTCCAAAACTTAACAAGCCAGAACAGAGTTCGTTCTCAAAGGGATTGATATGCAACAACCGCAAGCTGGAGAAACGTGCAATTGAGTTGTTTTTACTGGCTTGTATTTTCCTCCTCCTTGTGCACATAAAACAGTACATGCCTTTTAGAGGGTATGATTAATAATCCTTCTTGTTTTTGTGCAAAAGGATTTAAGAGCTGTATTTCAGGACAGCTGCATACAGATAGGT